GCTGATCTTGGCGAAGTTCTTCAGCATAAAGAGGAAGAGTTTGAGAGATCTAAAGCTCCGTCCCCCCTTTCCTTGAGATTAGGCTTGGTCTTAATCTCGAGAAGAGTACTGATTTCGCTTGGTCGATATCAATATTTTAGCGAATACTTCCTTGGTGAAGTAGGAGTTATGATTAATCATTATGTCAACCGGATCCGATCCGTAGGCGGTCCACGGATGTCAACGTCCCTGGCACAGACAAAGATCTCACGCAAACAGAGATTAATAAATAGGATCTGTGTATTGTTTGAAAGAAATTGTAATCAGTTATTTCCATTGTGTAAAAATCTTATAAAAAGGCTAACTTTTTGTTGAGTTTATTGTAACGCCTGAAGTTGTAATAGATTCAATCACGATGAAGAAAACAATTTCTGACCCAAACAATTATATTGTTATGTTATTATTAAATATGTTACTATTATATAATATTTTATAATTATTAAATTATTATAATTTATTTATTAAAAAGTTAATAATATTATAGTGATTATACTATTGTATAGTATATTATTATATTGTTATTTATTATCACTAACTCTTTTATTATTTTTATTAGTTTATTTATATTTTATTTATATTTATTTATATAATACATTATTAACATATTAAATATTGGTATTTAATATGTTATTAGATTATTATATAAGATATTTTATTTATTATATTTTTATATTATTTATTAAATACTAATATATTAAATTAACTATAATATAGTATAGTATAGTATAATATAATAAGCATGTTGATAATAATTCTATATTAATTACATTTAATATATTATGTTACATATTATACTAACACTTTCTTAAACTCAAAACCAAAACAACAAACTTAAAACACTTAAAAGGTGTTTTAAAATAAGTGTTGTGTTTTTGGTTTGAGAATGATCTAGCTTAAAAAACATCATGGTTTCCAAACGCATGGTGTTTTATTTTTGGCAAAAACATTATGGAAACAAGTAAAATATCATGGTATCTAAACGGAGCCTAAGATATTTCCCTCTGGTTTCTGCAGCTTAAAGTAGCACATAAGATTAGCTAAACTTGTTTAGCTAGCTTTGTTTCTTCACCGTAAACTTTGCACTCTTACTGATGAACTAATACTATTGGGACTAGTTACATTCCATTATCACGAGATATAATTTAGTTACATTCGTTATTCTGATGTTTGCATATCTACACGGATAATAATTCTTAGATTATTTATTGCAATTACATGGATGCTACTGGAGTTTGACGGCATGTTAATATTATTTTTTCTTTGTTGATTTTGAGTTGTGATGGACATTGGTTAGGATTGGGGTTTAAAGTTAGGGCTGAGGTTAGGCTGTGGGTATGATTATAGCAAAGATTATTAGGGTCTATTATTAGGATTATTATAATGAAACTTTGTTAGTAATCTTTTCTATCCTCCTAATTCTAATTCTAACTTTGATACTAATCCTAACCAATAGCCACCATCGAAAAGGAGCTCTTGATCAGCAAAAACAAAATGGCGTTAACTTGCTGTTAGAATTTAAAATTATCTAAGATATTGCAATCGGCGTATTATATTTATCCATTGTTTTATGAGCAGCAGCGATTCAACAATATTATAACTAATGTAAAATCTTGAATTTCAATTATTATGTTTGAAATAAGACTGGGGGCTAGATAAAAATTCCCGAAAAAGATCTATTTAATTCTTTTTTTTTAAAACAAGATCCATTTAGTGTAGTAAACACACGTACATTTTTTTTAGACGAGATGAAATTAGAATTAAGGTTTGAATATAGCACAAGAAATTAGTATGTTATGATTATCTTAAAAGTACATCAGAGATAACCAACTTTTCATTGTTTTATTTTATTTCCCTCCACCCCCCTTAATTATGAAGACTTTTGAGCATCTGTTCAACTAATTTCTTAACTAAACCGCTTGAATCCAGTGTGATTCACGTTGTCAACCAGGCGCCTATGACACACCCATACGACAAAAAAAAAAAAAAGATTGGACAATTTGTATAGAGTCAAACTTCTAGAAATCCTTTAAAATATTAGACTTTCTTTCTCGCTTGAATTAAAAGGCCACGATGTCAAAGACTCGAAGATTATTATGAAAAGCTAAATATAAACTCAAGTGCTGACTTTTTGGTAAGGAGCCTTCATCCAGGGAACTTTGGCTTTTTTGCAACGGCAATGTTGACCAAATACATCGCACAAAACACCGGGAATAGCCGGTGAGAGATTTCATCCGTTGGATGCTGAGCATCTAAATCCAGCGGCTGGCACAAGTTTGACTTTTTATACTGTCATTTGATAATTAATTAATAAAAAATAAAAAATAATAATAAATGGGGACTTTAATTAAGCCTGTAATGCAAAGACGCGGCTTAAGCAACAGGGATACGCGCTAGTAATGTTCTATATTTCTGAAAAAAAAAAAAATCCTTCATCATTTTGTTATTTTTTTTTTAAATTTGATGAGGCTTATGCGTAGAAAATTGAGAAAGCCATCTAACAGAATATTGACGTGTGGAATTATTATTCTTGAATATGTCAATGGGGATAAGAATAATTATAAAAATCAAAGAAAAATCTACTAGAACATTAGATCCGTTTTAAAAAACCATATCTTTAAATAAAAGGTTATGTGTTATTGCGACGTAGCCATTGAAAAGATGGTTCTACCTTCATCTGTATTAAAAACTTAAAACCGTGTGATCTTATTTGAGGCTTCTGTGTTTAAATATAGAATCAACGTATATAAGATACAAGACTTTTTTTATTATATTGAGGGATAAATGATTTGGGTTAAAATAAAAACATAAGGATCTTGAATCCAATATTAAAACATCAAATATTTCAGCCTTCAGCGTCAAGTATGCGAAACATCAAATATACCTTTATTTAATCAATTATTAAAAGATTTTTTTATTATAAAATACATATTAATACTTTTGTGAAAAAGATATTATCCCTAGGCCTCGCCTATGCCAATTAGACTCAATCCATCTTTGAACTTAGAGAGCATAGCACTAAAGCTAAAGTTTGTTTGTTGTCCACCTGATACGTGTCCTCTGGATGATTGGATCTTTTACTCTTTTATTTCTTTTTTGTTTTATTTAATTCAACTTTCGGATTAATTGACTTGAATTCTACTGCAATTTTGTCTTTAAGCACGCCCAATTAGAGGGTAAATTTTATTAGATAAAATCTAGACCCAATGTGTTCTACTATCAATTCTACTGAGCATCATGATTCATGACACGCTTGGTTTGGCACAAAAAGAGAAAAATTGCACCCAAAGACACTCTATATAAACTCCTTAGTAAAAAAAAAGAAAAAAGAAAAAAAGAGGGCATATATATGTTCTACTATCAATTTTAAATCCGTTAAATTAATCAACTTCAAAGTGGAACGTATGCCTAATTAGTGAACAAGGAAATAATATAGAATAACGAATCAACTTTAAAGTTGGTGATGAAACATGAGTGGCACTAGGGGCACATCCGTGACATCCCCAACCACAACTTCAACCACACCCTCTCTCTCATTGCTACAGTACACCAGGCCTCACATGGGATTTTAAAATTTTAAAATCTCATGTGGGGTCCGGTATACTGTAGCAAATGAGAGAGGGGGTGTGGTTGGAGTTGTGGTTGTGGGTGTGCCTCTATCATTTTCTATGAAACATAGGTAATTACCTATATATTATAATAATAAAAATCTATATGATTTGCTTTTATTTTTTTGTGGCAAAGCAGTAATAGATAATATGGTAATATTGTTAGCCCATTGGGCCATAGAGCCTCCTTCATTCTCGGACAAGGCCTTCTTCGTTATCTTTACAGCTCTACGTTTTATGAATTTTACATAAAATAAAATGAACAATTTCAGTAAATTAACTATTCTTTGTTTCATATTTTGTGTTCGAAAGTACAACTTCTATGGAAGTCAATAGATAAAAGAATAAATGTTATTATTAAAGTTCTATTTGGGATAACTTTATGAATAAAAAATTGTCATAATATGCATAAAAAATATATCCCTTAAATTCAAAACAACGACCAAAGACGAAATATCGTAGAGGCTCAAAGATTCTAAACTACTCATTTTTTTCAGTCATGAGAAGTTTTTATTTTTAATCCTATCGCCAATATTTACAATGGCTAATATTGTGGCTTCAAAGGATTCCAATATTATTAGAATTAAATGCATAAATATAATAAATTATATAAATAACATCGAACAAAAATTAATACCACAAATATAAAATGAAGAACTGAATCGGTCAATAAAGAGAGATTTCTGCACAATAGTGACCGATTCTGAGATGTTTGCAAAAATAGTTTGACTTACATTATAATGTTATCAAACCAAACAGTTGGAAGTACATTTTTCTTATGCTTACGTCCAATCCTTTTGCAGTTATTTTGCACATCGAAGTACATATTTACAAGCAAAAAGTATTGCATTGTGAGGCATTCCAGCGCCACTTAATCGCCGCGATTCTCGATCACCACCGCTCTCCATAAAAAAGTGACAACTTCCCAATTTTTTTCTCTGTGAATGGGTGCTGATTTTACATTATTGTCCCTATTTTTGTAAACTCTTCTACAATAAATTACCCTCAAATTACCCCCAGATGCAAAATTTAGTTTTCCGATCCACTGGCGCCCTTAATGCTTTGTTCCCCCCTTCCCATTTTCCTTTTTCTCACTTCTCCTGTAAATTTGATTTCCATTTTTAATTAGGGGTTTCTTGATATCAATTGTTGATGTGTCATTGAGAAAAAATTTAGTTTGAAGACGGCTAATTTAATTTGGAATTTGAAGTATAGTTTATGTTCCCTCTTTTGTATTTCTATTATGCTCAATAATCTAATAATTATTTTTATTTGATTATTACTATTAGGTGTTTGATGGAGAACTTTGATCTAAACCAACCTATAAATATTAATTCATTTGCAAGTGACGCAATCATGGGTCTTGGTGGTGGTAATGGCAAAGAGCTAGAAGACACGACGGAGATTATAAGAGATGTTTTAAATGAATGTGAAGTTATAGAACCATATAAAGGTATGGATTTTAAAACTCAAGGGAAGCTTATTCTTGCTACAAAAAAAAATGCAAAATCTTTCGACTTTGGTGTTTCAGTTAGAACATCTCGTCGTTGAAAGAAAACCAATGAGTTTATTGATGTTAAACATGCTTGTGCAAGACATGAAGAGAAGCGAAAGTTTGATTCTATCCATCCTCGACTTTGTTTAAAAATAGGGTGCAAGACAATGTTGCATGTGAAAAGAATGGAAGATGAAACATGGGTTTTACATGAATTAATCAAGACGCACAATCACGAGTTTTCATCAACATATGCTCACTACTTACCTTGCCATAGAGGCATCACATCATCACAAAAACATGATATTAGCATGTTGCATGCTGTTGGTGTAGGGGGTAAGTCAACTTTAACATTTGTTTGGTTAATGAAAACTTGGTTAACTACCATGGGTGGAAAACCTCCAAATGCAATCCTAACCGATCAAGACAGGGCGATGAAAGCCACTGTCAAGATTGTATTTCTAAATACTAAACATCGTTATTGTTTATGGCATATAATGAGAAAGCTTCCTGAAAAACTCCCTCACGTGATTAAAACATGCATGATAAGTTTATTGAAACATTCCAACAATGCATTTGTACATTTGTAAGTCATGGACAAGTGAACAATTTGAAGAAAGGTGGCTCTCCGTGGTGGAAAATTTTGAGTTAACAAAGGATTCATGGCTTCAATCACTGTTTGAAGAAAGGGAGCATTGAGTGCCCACATATTTGATAGATACCTTTTTTGCAGGTATGTCAACTAATAAATATTCACTTATATCTTTTTCTTTCTTTTGTTGAATAAATCTAAATACTCTCTATTTGAACTCAATTATATTATGTTTTTTGGTAATTTTATTTGTAGGCATGTCAACTACTCAAAGGTCTGGAAGTATTAACTCTTTTTTTGATAAACATGTGAACAAGAAGACTCTATTGAAGGAATTTGTTGAAAAATATATCGTGGCTTTAGAGGATAGAAAGGAAGGAGAATGACATGCAACTTTTAAAACTTGGCATAAAGACCCCATTTTAAAAACTTCATATCTATTTGAGAGGAAAACGCCTGTTATTTATACACATGAGCTCTTTAAAATTTTTCAAGTAGAAGTATTGGGAGCTTCCGGATGCCATGCAATCAAAAAACAAGATGGGGTTGTCGCAATTTATAGAGTTGAAGATTTTGAAAAAAAAAGGAAGACTCTTATGTGAGTTGGGATGCTAATGACAAAATTGAGTGTCTTGCCTTTGTCATTCTTATGAGTACAATGGTTTTCTTTGTCGACATTCAATATGTATGTTTCATCATTCTAGCGTGTTTCATGTGCCATCTCATTATATTTTGAAGCGGCGGGCCAAAGATTTGAGGGAAAATGGTGACACAAGCCAAACAACAAAAAATGTTAATTGTAGACAAGATCGTTATGATGATCTATTTCAACAGACTACAATCCCATGTAAGGAGGTCTCAAATTGTCAAGAAAGTTATAATATTGCATCTCATGCTTTGAGAGTTGTATCAGAGAAATGTAAGATGTATAATTTAAGTGTCGATAAGGAAAAGACTAATTGTAATGTGGATGATGACACTTCAATACTTGGTTCAAAAGTTGTGAAGACAAAATGAGCTAAAAGAATTAAATCAGGAACTGACAAAAAGTTACCTTATAGTTGATCTTTTTAATTTCTATGTCTTCTTAATATGTTTGCCACTAAAGTAAACTTTTTCTTTTTGTAAATTAAGATGCAGTAGTGATTAAAGGGGCCACTAGTAGGAAGAGCAAATCTTTGCAAAAATGGTATGAATAATGGTGAGTCAGCTATTGCTATAAAAATTTACTTATGTAAGACAACTTTTTTGTTTTATTTTTTTTTAGGATGCTAACAGTTTTGCTTCTCAAGAAGAGTCAATCATAGCTCCAAGAGAGCCCACATCTCAATCAACAATGCATGATAAGGTTAGTTCTTCAGTACTGCATATTTAATTTAATTTCATGAAAATATATATTTTATGTGATTTTAATATGTTCGGTATGTAATAGGATGCACGTAATTTCTTGAACCTCAACGCGACTGACTATTTCTCCATTCAGTCAACACAAAATTTGTAAGTTTGAATTAGTATTTATTTTTGTTCCATTAATATTTATAAACATCGATCTTAGGAACTCAATATTACGTGTCTTAGGTGTAAATGGTTTGACAATGGATAGCACGCCGACACTCAATAGTAGTACTTGGATTAATTGGCATCCTCAAGAGGTACCGTATCTTTTCGTGGGGAACATTTTGTAAGTTAATTCCATCGTCAATGCTCTAATCAGCGAGAAATGGACATCACCCCACATTATTTTCCTTATATTGTTATTAATGGTGGACTTCGTACTGAATTAGTGGACTTCTTGTTATTAATGGGTTTGCGAAACTCTCCTGGCCCAGCGTTTTGGGGTTTTAGAGCCTTCATTTTATCGTATGGGTGAAGGATGTGACAATTGATTTTTTGCATTTTATATCTTCGTTTGTTTGGCTAAGTGTTTGGGGGTTTTGATTCGTGCAATTTGCAAACTTGGTATTTTTATTTAAACATCTCTCAAATAAAAACAAGTGCATCAGATTTTCAGCGTGTAGCTTCTTGTACAGAGAGCGTGAGGCGATAGGCTTCAGAACTCAGAAGAGGTCTAATATTGGAAAGCATAAAATTAAGGGAAGAACGTGGAAGTTCGCACGCACCTGCTCTTGGGGATGACGCCGTACAAGAGCTAGTTCAGAAAAAATAGGGACATTAATGTAAAATCAACAATATCCATTCACAGGGAAAAAGTTTAGGACATTTGTCACTTTTTCGTGGAAAGTGGGTGATGGGCACCGTCGATGAGGACTTCCCTTTTGGTCGAAATCGTATGTGACCAAACATAAAGCAGGGCATCATCCTGCCGTCAAGCGTCTTATTTAAATTATGATGATAAGTTTTACATTGAAAATAAAGCGGCTAAAGAAACACATCAATTGTTTTACATTTTTTTTTACAGTTTTCAGAAAATTAAAAACGAACTACACTGCGCGCGCTTAGTAGAAAATTTGGATTATATGAATGCGTCTGCTTGATTTAGCTCAAAAACTCCGGAAAAATGATCACGTTGCGCACATGCATGATACACATGTTAGAAAATATTGACTTGTATATATATGATATATCCATCTTCTTGAAATAATTCAATATTTAAAAGGCCTAGAATAAGAATCAAGTTGCTAGTTTTACGTATTCATAAATTAATACTAAATAGTACTAATTAAGAATTTTCTAATTTATTGCTAACTGTATTTTAACTTTCTACTATATATATATGTATTAATTAAAATTCAAAACAAAATTTCCTTAGGAAATATCGATCGGTTCTCATGGAGGTGTCTCAATATCAAAACGTCATGTCATCTTTACACGTTTCCCAAGACACGCAAACGTGCTCCAACGTGGAGAAGGAATTGGACGTCAAGCATCAATCAAAATAATACCTACTCACGGTTTTGGAGGCAAAAACAATAGAGTAGCTCTTTATATTCAAATTTCAAAGAAGATGCGGTTTCTAGCCACTTGTGTGATCTAGTAATGGTCCCTCTAGTTACTTTTTAATCATTGTTCAGATAGATTAATTATTATATTGATGAGATACAAGGTGTCAATAGGAGATCAAAATTACAGATTGGCATGTTAAAATGTGAATGTCGACTAAATTAAAAAACCCTTTAATAATAAAAATAATGATAATATATAAAAGCATTTTTTTATGTAACGGTAGCGTAATATAAAAAGATAACTACTCGTTCTCGTACGAACAAAACAAAACAGCAGAAACCCTAGAAACTCTACGAATATAAAACTTCTAAAATTAATAATGACCAATCTAATGAGTTCACAAATTTATTCCCCTTATATAGGGGGTAAAACAAAGCAAAAGTATCAAAATAATCTTTCCTAAAATAATTAGATTTTCTAGAATAAAAAATACTTTTTATAAAAATTAGAAAGTAAATTGAATCAAAACTCTTTGACGCGTAAAGCGCTGAATGTTATTGTGTTTAGCCATAAAGCGCTGAATGTTCTTCAAGATTTAGTGTAATTTTGCCTGCATTTTAACACGGAAGAAAAAAAAGGAAACAAAAAAAAAAAAACACGGAAGAAACAAGAGACCGAGCCTTCTCGAGAGCAGCAGTTCTGTTGTATTCTATGTTTTTTTCTTCCTTTAAAGGCATCATGTACTCTACGCATACATATACTAACATTTTGCTGCCAAAATCTGACTCTTTTTATTAAAGTGCTGCCGAAAGAAAAGGAATCGACGAATCGTAGGTTCCTGTTCACTCAATTTCACTATTCTTTAAATTTCTCTCCTCCTCAGTTTATGAAAAGGTACTCATATTTAACGTACACACATATTAATCTCCACTCTTAATGTTGCCCTGTCACTGAAATGCGGGGTTAGCTTGTCTTAGGAGTCTAGGACTCACTTAGAAAAATGATAGGGACACACCTTCCAACCACAACCTCAACTACATCCCCTCTCTCATTTGTTACAGTGCTCCGGATCCTACTTGGGATTTTTAAATTTTAAAATTCCAAATGAGAATCGGTGCACTGTAGCAAATGAGAGAGAGGGTGTGGTTGGGGGTGTGCCCCTAGTGCCCCCACTCACTTATATGACGGTCGCATTAGCTCATTAACGTACGTGAAAGTTCATGTTGCATGTGCCCTTTGCTATACATATTTTACTTTTAACTTCAGGGTCGAGGTGGCTTATAAGTCACTTCATCAAAATATAAGCTGGAGTATCATAATTATATTTTTAGTAGCTTACAAGCCACAAGGTTTGACTGTGTAAGATACCAACATACCCCTCATCATTTAAAAAAATTACAAGCCCTATTTTTCTTCCTCCTACCTCATTAAATAAGTTTTGGTCGTTTTCACAATAATGATCATTTATAAGCTATCTATTTGCCAAACACTCAAAAAGTTTATAATCTACTAAATTTACCAAATACTTTGGTTGGTAATTCAACAACCTTACAATCTTTTATAGATTATAATACAATCATATTATAATCCAAAGTTGCCAAACATACTCTTAATACGTCTTAACTATTATATATGCATATTCACATGTTTCTTTATTAATTGCACTATTACGTATGATGTTACCAACAATAAATAAATGAGGAATGCTAGCTATCGTCACGTGTGCACTGCACATGCGCCATAACAAAGACATGTATCCTTACATGATCCTGTATAGGGCTGGTGTCCCTAGCATTTCACATAAAGAGACATCCAATATGCACCAGAAAAATATAATAATAATAATAATAATAATAATAATAATAATAATAATAATAATAATAATAATAATAACAACAACAAATAAAAGGAGTAGGAGCTAGAGTTATTGTCTACTAAGTAATTAGGTTTTATTGTCGTATAATTGTTTCCATGTTGTCCCCCACCCTTGTCACTGTTGTCATCATAGTTATGGTAGCAGTTGGTACCGACAAGATTCCGATGGATTAGGTTTTTTTAAGCCAACAGCTTCGGTGCTCCATGGCATCTTCTGTAAATAGAAAAACCTAAAATCTAGCTCTCTAATCCACAATTTAAGGGATTATGCGGTTGATAGGCCTTCCACACCTACATTTGTAAATAGGTTAAACTTAGAGGGTAGTTTTGGAGTTGAAAACATCATAGAAAAGGATAAAACTAATATTTGAGAAGGGTTAGTTTTCTTCAACTAATTTCTCACTTGATCTTTAACAAAATCTAATTTGGCCGTATTCTATCATATTAGATTTCTCTCTTTTATTTTTCCTTCCATATTTATGACAAAAATTTGGTATTATAATGCAAAGGTGTGTTTAAAATAGATATTATTGTTCTTGCTTTTAGTTATATTGTATAAAATTATGCATAGCATGCATATGTCAATTCCTTTCTTATCATTATAAAGAGGAATAAAATTAACCATCGATTGAAAAATTACACTTTTATTTATATTTTCACTGAAAAGATTTAGAACTAAGTCAGAGGATCTTTCTACATACTAACATTAACAATTTGATACCCCATTTACAAGAAAATATTAATTTAGAAATAAGTGTAATAAATTGTATTGATTTATATTCTTTTGTACATTGAAAAATCAAAATCTGAAAATTACACTATTATATGTTTGTTTAAACATGTATATAAGCTTCAAATTAGGCTAAACTAAATTACCAATTTTAACTAAATCTAAAAAGTATACCATGTGCATTGCACGTGTGCAATTCACCTAGTAAACGTGAAACAAGGGAGGTGGGTGAAGTAGTTATGAACAGAGAAATAATAGGATATGAATTGAAAAGAAAAGGACAAATGCACCCTTGTTATTTTCAGCCCAAAATTTTAATTTTTTAACCATTTAAAAATTATAAAAATTCTTATTTTCGGAGCACCAAAGCATAACTCTTTTTTTAAAGCGTAGGCTGAGATAAGCTTATTTATAACTATATAATTATTACATTTCTTATTTCTACTTTGATGTATCTTTTGGAGAAAGTCATTAGAGAATTTAGAATGAAACATTCAAACCTCTTTGAGCAAAAAAATTAAAACTAAAATAAAATAAAAATAAATAAAACAAACTAAGCTGCCACATGATTTTGATCTAATTATTATAGTTTCATTGCTTATTTATTTTCCTTATGAGCTTGTATCAACTTATAGTGTTCTCACAAGAAAATCGTACTTAACATAAACATGTATTCCTAAAATAATCATTATAACTTTGTGTTTCAAAAACATTGAACTTTGAGTTTTCCTTGATCAAATTATGATAATCAAATCATCTATGGATGAACACCATATCATAAGGGTTGAACCAATTAAGTAATTACTTGACAGATTATGTAAAATAAATAAGGGGTTGGGGGTAGGGGTGGGGGGTTCTTCAAATCAACATCTTTATTAAGTTTGTCCACTAACATGATATTTATGATACATCTTGAAAAATTATAATTAAAAGCATACAACAATCCAATGCAAGTTTAGTGGTGAAAATAAGCGGGGCAACAATATTTATTCAATCAATCACAGATAAAAAATATATATTTAATTTGCAAGATAGAGAAGCGTAACCAATTGATTCAAATTTCAGTGTTGTTGTTTTTCTTTCATTCATTGAACCAATTGATTCAAATTTCATTATTATTGTTTTTCTTTCATTTATTTATTTATTTTGCATTAACATTTTGTGTTTAAAAAAGAGAGTTGAAATTATTGTTGTCTCTCGGAGGTTAAGGGGGTGTTTGTTTCAAATCCTATAATTTTAGGATATGGATTTCACCATGAGATTTGAAATCCATAGGCGTTTTGTTATGGGTTGAGATTTCTAAAATGTTGTTTGTTTCATTAATATTTTAGGATTTGGAATACTTCAATTTGTAATATTTTGTTTGTTTTAAACTCAAATTGTAACATTACAAAATGCCAAAAAATTATAATATGATGAATATGCTATCTTGGTGAGGTAACCTCACACAAAAAAACAAAAATAAGATTAGTCAAATCCTCTCCAATTGAGAGGTGAACACACTCATTTATGGGATTTGTCAAAAACCTCTCCAATTGAGAGGATTTGACAAATTCT